GCAAATTTTGGCGCCACTAATATATATATATATATATATATATATATATATATATATATATATACAGTATGTATGTATATTATTGAATAATATATTTTTTAAGAAATCTGCTAATTTTTAGAGTTTATATCGCTAAGATAGATAGTATTAATTATTTCAGTTTTTTTAATCTACTAATTCTGTCAAATAATGTAAAAAAAAATTCTAAAGTTTCAACAATGTTTTGGAGAAGAAACATAATTAATAATGATTGTATCATAAGAAAACTGAGACTTTTCAAATTCATGTACATAACACTTAAAATGTTTCTAGGTCAAAAGCAACTTATGTGCTCTCACATTTTTTATTTTTAGCCACATACTAGATTGGAAGTCTACAGTTTTCACTTCTCTCTCCACAGCGACAAACATGCAACATGATACGTCAGATGCTTCTTTCACTGTTTTCTGTTGTTCTGTGTCTTCTAGAGAGCCTGTATTGATTTTGCAATAAATGCCAAACCTCTAACGCGCCACATGCCTCAGAACAAGCAAAGCTTTCAATACCGAATGTGGCAGTTTGTGGTGTCACCTCCATTTGAGTACAGTATCATGGCTCTCATCGCGCTCAACACCATCGTCCTTATGATGAAGGTACAAGCTTCTTCCTCCCTCAGCATCAGTAACGTCCTTGTGCATCCGTCAGGGTCTGAATTTTCTTTGTGCATTTCCAGTACCATGGGGCCCCTCCAACGTATGATGCAGTCCTGAAGAACCTGAATATAGTGTTCACCACACTGTTCTTCATGGAGTGTGTTCTGAAAATCATTGCATTTGGTGTCCGAGTAAGTCTCTCTAATCGCATCCTAAAGATATCACCTATTATTAATTCATTCATCCTGTTACTTATTTAGACCTGAGATTTTTTTTAACGTTTTCTTCTTTTAACCCACTTAGAAAAATGGGTTTAGAAAAAACTGCTTTCTATTGCACTTGTCTGCCTGTCTCCATGGTGATAGCCATTTGATTGGCTAAACTATTTTTAATAGTCTTGCCAGTGCAGGATTGGGTGATACAGGTCCTCACTACCTGAGAACTCTGAGATGATTGGTTAACACACACTCTCCTTTTGTTTCTCTGCAGAATTATTTCCGAGATGCTTGGAATATTTTTGATTTTGTTTCCGTTATCGGCAGCATCACTGACATTTTAGTGACAGAGCTTTGGGTAAGTGCACTTTTAGACAAGTTTAGAAAGCAAATACAGATTGCATCTTGATTCATGTTGGAACTGATTAGCTAGATGTGAACATATCCACTTATAAATAAATATGCATTATAATCCTGGTAAATGCATCTCTTGCGATCACTTCCCTTTTTTTAGGGACAGTAAATAGTTTCGTTCTCACACGCATAAATCTTACTGAATCTATAGCATGTGTTTTGAATATCATCCTATTGCAGAATTTTCATATTATGTTTAATAAGGAAGGTTTAATTGCAACAATTCCAAACTTTATGTGGTAAAAATGACTTGGAAGCAAAATGTTAAATCTTTTGTCTGTTTGAATATTTACCCATTCAATCCTCCACATCGTGTGTTCCTTCTATTGCTAAGTGTTGTGTGTATTTGTACTGATTTTTGTTTGTAAATGTCAGTGTTTGAGTGTGTATTTGTGCTGGTGTTGTCTCCTGTCTGTGCCTTTAGGGTGCTCTGTCTGTAAAAATGAGACAGAGACACTTTACTCTGATGTGTTACACTGAAGTTTTTGGGCTCTCCCAGTGGTCACACATTACATTATGTGGATTTTTATACCATATAACTTTCCATATAAACCATATAATCAGTGGTAATTTAATGTTATTTATATATTATCATAATATTTATCAATGTTTTGAATTAACTTATACTTCATTTTCACTTTACGTGTTTGTCATTTTATATTTCTACACTCTATAGCATACATGTATGTTAACTTTTGGTAATAGAGTTCCACACTCACATTTTATATAGATATCACTTTATATATATATATATATCTTTTTTTTTATTTTTTATAAAATAGCTTCAGTTTTGTTTTCGTTTTGTTTCATTAACATTGCCCCTAAAGGTAGTTAACACTGTATTTGTAACCATTTTTAAAAATGCTTCGCAGGACATAAGTAAAATTCAGTATGGCCACTGGAACAGCCTGCAAAGTGAATCAATACCCACCGTATCTGTGTTTGATTAATCACCCTGTTGACTGTATCCATAACGACTTATTCCTGTTTTATCTTTTTACATGCTTTCTTTGTTCCTCTGATTTGTTGGCGATAAACCCATCCAATCCAAAACAAACAAAAAATGCACTATGAAACTCTCATATCTTCCATCTCATGTGTATCTATCCAATCCCCTCACACACTCACTATACATGTATGCATCCATCTACTGCAACAACACATAGAATCCGGTTGGTTTGTAATTTTCTCTCAGCTTCTAATGCATCCATTACCCAAAAAGCCTCGCTCTTTCCTCCTCACTTTCCTCAAAGCATGTGCTTCCAGTATGATTACCCATGACCCCAAAGATGCTTGACAATTTGACAACTGCTCATGTTAATGCTCATATATTCTAAAAGCAATTAAAAACACTAGGACTAGGTGGCATAATGGTAAAAATGTGTCATTTTATTTAAAAATATATTTTTTTTACCATTTTTCACCAAATTACTGTTCCAATGATCTAAAATGATTCATGTAAGCATTTGGTCATACCACCCACCCTAATACAAACACATATATGTATACAAGTACAAGGGCCAATAATGTATGTAATACATTAAAAAAAACTTCACCGACATTAACATAGAGTTTTGTAAAGTAGATTTACCTGAATGTAATCACAAGAGGTTCAGTTAAAGTTCAATAGCTGACTCTTGCTCTTATTGACCTGTAGTTCTAATCTACCTTGTTACCCATTGACCAATGAGAGCACTATTTTTGTTTTTGCTCATAAAAATTATTTTACACTTGCACAGGTAGTCACAGACGTTGTCATGCCATCGCTGAATGCCATGCACTTTAGCAAAAGCTGCATGATGACTCTTGTTCTTTCATTACCTTATCTTTTCTCGATTCATCTGCCTGTTCTGCACTACTGTAGTTCCTCCTCTACATGGAAGAGGGCGCTACAGCTTACTCATTGAAATATGTGTATGCTGGAATGGGGGAGTGATCCTCAATAACCTGTCCACACATAAAGATGTATTATTTATTTTACCAGGTTTTGCTGAGCGATTATGTCAAATGTGCTTAAAATACCACATTGAAATTTTGTGTTTTGGGCTAAGCACTTCTTAAAATGCCAAAAAAAAAAAAAAGAGTTGGCATGAACTTTGTGTGGATTGGACCATTGAGAATTACATAAAAACACAGCCAATCCCCACTGGCTAATGTTGTCGGTATTCTCCTCCATATGCCTGTATTTGCTAAACATTACAGTGCATCAGGCTGCTTCCATTCTGTGCCTTGCCTGTCTCAACAGATCAGTGCATTTGATTAAAAAAGGTTTATGCTTTAATATATGATTGGATGTTGACTGTTACAATATATTGATTGTTTTTCTTGAGCCCCTCCTGAATTAATTTGGTCCTTTTTTTTTTTTTTTTTTTAGTTTCAATCCCATTTCAAGTTTATTTTGTACATTGTGTATTTATATATAAACAATATATATACTTTTATGTATTACTTTAACCCACTTTCTCTCTAAATTATTATTTTATTATTTTATTTAAAAAATATATTTATCATCAAGTAAACTGATTGTGATTTTTCTCTTTTTCTTACACTTGCTCTCTCTTTCACATGCTGTCTCTCTTGCACTCTTTTCTTCCTTTTCTTCTGGAACATTCTCCTCTGTCTCTGTTTCTACATACGTCTCAACCTAATCTCCCTAGGATAACTTCATAAACCTGAGTTTTCTGAGACTATTCCGAGCAGCACGTCTCATTAAGCTCTTGAGGCAGGGCGAGACCATTCGCATTCTACTTTGGACTTTCGTTCAATCATTTAAGGTGCCAAAAGTCTTACCTAAATGCCTACAGTCACACACCTACACCGATTCACATGCCAAATCCAAGTCCAACGTGACTAAGGGACAAAACTTTTTTGCAATTAAATCTTCACACAGTTTCTGGTGAAAAATGTCAGGCACTCTGAAGTCCTGCCTTTGAGTTAAAAATAAGCCATTTTTACTTGAGAATTTCTTTGCATATTTCCCTACATGTAATGAAAATGTATAGCCAGCTGTCCTGCCTAAAAAGTTAAAGAGTGAATTTTCATGATTCTTTGAAAACAGTTTGGATACCAGAATTAGTTGTTTGCTATCTGAACGTATTTACAAATTGAGCTTATTTGAAGATTAAAAAAAATACATTCTCGAAAAATGGAATGCATAATTTCGTGCAGTATTGTAGAGATGTGTTTTATTGATCTGTAAATTTTATAGAAGCAAAGTGACAATGCACTCAACTTATTTTAAGGTGTGCGCATTTGTAAAAAAAAAAACACGGAGACTTTACCGACATTTAAAATTCTGTCTAATTTCTTCCTCCTTTCATGCTTTTTCTGTTTACCATTCACAGGCTCTGCCGTATGTGTGCCTGCTCATTGCAATTCTGTTCTTCATCTATGCCATCATTGGCATGCAGGTAACAGCTGTTCTGTTTGAAATGAGCTTTAACATCCCTGTGGGTTTTTGAAAAACTAAATAAAGACTAAATGAACCAAAATATGCATCTATCAACACATTGATAAGTGGCATAAGGTTGCTGAGATTTCACATCTGTGAGTTCAGTGATGTGTTCAGTAGTTTTATATATTCTCTGTGACACTGTAGTTGTTTGGAAACTTGGCGCTGGATAAGGAGGAAGACAGTGCGATCAATGAACACAATAACTTCAGAACATTCATTATGGCCCTGATGCTACTCTTCAGGTCAGTCCAGTGTTATTTTAGTATATATTCTATTATAATATTTAAAATATTTTGAATGAGCTTTTTTTTTAATATTTTTTCATTTTAATTTTAGCTAAAGTTTTAGTCCTTTTGTTTTGTGCTTTTGTCTTTTGTATTATTTTTTACTGTTCTATTTAGCTTTAATTAATTTTTTTTGTTTTAGTAATTTTAGTACTTCAAATTAAACCTTTCTTTAAGGAGCAAAACATATTTTTAAACAATTTTTCGCAGCAAAACCTTAATTTTTAGCTTAAGTTCCTTTTCAGTCGGTCACTTCGATGTTGTGTTGAAGTTTCCGACACTAGGGGTCGCACTTGGGAGCCCAGACACCTCTGACATCAAAAAAAGGCCAATGAAATTGGCAAGCAAAATTTGCATATCTGGCCACATCCGGGTATAAATAGGCCAGCGTAGCATTTGCTCACTCGTTCTGTTTTTTGGAGCCGAATGCTGTGTCTGTGAGAAGCGGCACTCATTCACCTCTCAATCTCCTCGCCATTGGATCTACGGCACAGGCAGCAGTCTCTTCCTTCTCATACACAGCTAAGTGTTGTGAGAGTACTCCAGGGTGCTTCAACAGTGATCATTGAGAGCAAATTCTCTGAAAGAGCTTCACGGGCGGAATTGTGTGTTTACGTCATGCCTTTCCGCCCATGTTCTTCTGGTTGCGGTTACCATGTCTCTCCTTATGACCGACTCGATCTCTGTGTTCAGTGTTTGGGCTGTGCTCATGACAAAGCAGTGCTCGTGGGTGGTTCATGTCCCACTTGCAAGGACCTGTCCATAGGCACGTAGTGTTTGTGGCTCGGGTTCCTCGCCAAAAGACCTTGAGTCACCCCAGCCGCTCCCTGTTCCGGTCCTTCTACTTCCGGGTATGAGTCCACAGCGATGTGCGCCCAGCCCCAGTTCCTTTCTTCCAAGATGTGCACGAGGAACTGACGAAATCGTGGAAGGCCCCCATACTCCGGCTCCTCCATCCTCACGACACAAAGTTGAAGTGACCGGCTGAAAGGGAACGTCTCTGTTACATATGGTAACCCTCATCCCCTGATGGAGGGATCGGAGACGTCGTGTCCCTTATGCCACAACTCTGAACTGCCTGAGTGGGTTGAGACGCTTCTCGACTCCTCAGAACAGAACTAGTGAGCAAATGCTACGCTGGCCTATTTATACCCAGATGTCTGGGGTGTGGCCAGCTATGCAAATTTTGATCACCAATTTCATTGGCCTTTTTTCGATGTCAGAGGTGTCTGGGCTCCCAAGAGCGACCCCTAGTGTCAGAAAATTTGACACACAGTCTCCGTTCCCTCCATCAAGGAACAAGGGTTACCACATGTTACTGAGACGTTTTAATAGTTTTGCTATGTGCTTTTGTCTTTTTTATTAGTTGTTTTTATTTATATTTCTGTTTAGATTTATTTTTTATTTCAGTTTCAGTTTTAGTAATTTTAGTACTTCAAATGAAACCTTTTTGTTTTATTTTTAAGTAACAAGACCTGAAATATTTACAAAAAAATTGCACCAAACACCTCAAAATATTTTAGCTGAAGTTCTAGTCATTTTAAGTACTTTTGTCATTATTATTATAAAATTTTTCCCCTTATTTCTGTATTTCTGTTTAGCTTTTATTTGTTTTAAGTTTATTAATTTTGGTACTTTTAAACGAAACCTTTTTATTTTATTTTAAAGAATAAGACTTAAAATATTTGTGAACAATTTCTTTGCACCAAAACCTTCAAACCTTCATTTTTAGCTTAAGATTTAGTAATTTTGTTATGTGCTTTTTAAAAATTTGATTTCAATATATCGTTCATTTATTTTTATTTCAGTTTTAATAATTATTTATTTGATTTGATTTATTAAGTTAGTTGCAAAAGCACCATTTTTAATTTTTAAGATTTTCAACTAATATATATATATATATATATATATATATAATTATTTCAGCTTTGTTTCAGTTTACTAAAAACCATTTTTAATGTCACATATGTGTGTGTTTTGGTAACAGGAGTGCCACAGGTGAGGCATGGCATGAGATCATGCTGGCGTGTCTCGGAGGAATGGAGTGTGATGATAACTCTGGGAACGAGGGGCCAGAGTGCGGCAGCAACTTTGCTTATGCCTACTTTGTCTCTTTCATCTTCCTCTGTTCTTTCCTGGTGAGAACAGCCTCCACTTGTTTCTTTTCGCCTTGCTTTACCTTAATCCCACTTTTTTACACTTCCCTTTCTCTCTCAGAGATGAATCTCTTCTTTATTTATTGCTTCAAACGGTAAATAATAAATTCAGTATGTTTCTGAGCTTGCATTTTGGGGTTTGTATTTGTGTTTAGATGCTGAATCTTTTTGTCGCTGTCATCATGGATAACTTTGAGTACCTGACCAGGGATTCCTCCATTCTGGGTCCACATCATTTGGATGAGTATGTCAGGATTTGGGCAGAGTACGACCCAGCAGCCTGGTGAGTTAAACGCACATCTTTTACAAATACTTTTTCTCTCTCTCAAACACACAAAACCACACATTTTTAAAGACGCTGTTATTCTTTTAAGCATACATGCAACCATTGATTTTTACCTTGAAATTGTAGAATGGAAAACCTACATCACTTAATACTAACAGTTTTTAAAAGGGAAACATGCTCACTGCAAGCTAACAAACACTGTAACATTCTAAAGATTCTTTCTTTCATCACAGATAAGATATTTATGTGCACACAAACTTAACTCAAAAACCAATCATTCCTCTCCATAGCTGCTGGCCCAAACAGTTAAGGTCTTTTGTTACTGAAAACATCCACAGAACGTCCCATAATGCTGTCCATGGTCATTTAAGATAAGGCCACTGATAGCAGATTTCAAAATCTCCAAAAGCCCAGCGTTATATCCCTCATATCCCGTCAGATGTGACCTCTGCAGTCTGATTTGATTTCATGCAGATGAGCCCAATTGTACCAACTCCACAAACTCTGTCTGCCCAGTCAGTAGTGTCTCCCGCTTCCCTCTGTCCCAGTGCTTGCCTCATCCTCGAGTGCTGTTCTGCAGGAGCCCATGGAGTTGGTCTGAATGAAGGGATTCCTTACCCCAGCTCTGAGAGAGCCCATTTATCCTGTTGACAATGCACGTCCGGTGATGATGATTCAACAAAAGAAGGTTTAAGGTTTGAATTAGTGTTGTGCACCATTCAGAATAGAATTTGTATTTTTTCCCCCAGATCAGTTCCTGAATTTGAATTGAATTTGAGTTACAGTACCAAACAAGATGTAGAATTGCAATTTGAATTTTAATGTAAATAAATAGAACTGAAATGAATCAAAATTCAAATAAATGTATATAACTACAAGCAAAACTGAAGTTTATAGGCCTGATGGATGGATTGGTGGATGGATGGCCATCTATAGACATATTAATTGGACCCACTTTATATTAAGTGGCCTTAACAACTGTGTACTTACTTTTAAATGAATAATTTGGTACAATGCACTTATTGTGTACATACATGTTTTTACATTGTACTTATATTTTAAAAATACCTGCATGTAATTACATCTGTAATTAATTTCTGAAAGTACATTTATAATTACACTGTTGACCCATCCCTTACACCTTAACCCACCCTTAAACCTACCCATACCACCAAACATGTCCCTAACCTTACCAGTATCCCACCTCAATAGCAGAAAAAGTGTTTTGCAATACAATATGAACACGTTTTGATGTAAGTACATAGTAGTTAAGGCCACTTAATATAAAGTGGGACCTATTAATTTATTATTAATGTACAGTATATTTCATCATATTAAAGTTAACTGCATTCAATTTCTTTAAATAACAATCCAGAACCTCTTCCTGTCATTTCGATTTCAATTCCAATTCATCTTTCTGTGGAATGTGGCCAATTCAATTCAAAGTCAAATTTATGAATTTGAAAGGGAACCAATTTTTCATTAATATAAAGTGGGACCTATTAATTTATTATTAATGTACAGTATATTTCATCATATTAAAGTTAACTGCATTAAATTTCTTTAAATTACAATCCAGAACCTCTTCCTGTCATTTCGATTTCAATTCCAATTCATCTTTCTGTGGAATGTGGCCAATTCAATTCAAAGTCAAATTTATGAATTTGAAAGGGAACCAATTTTTCTATTCTGAATTTTGCATAATCCTGATTTGAACTACTTTCATTCAAAGAGTCAGAAAAAAAGGAAAGATATCTGCTTTTTTTTACTACAGTATACATAATTTTCAACATATTTTAACATAAAAATCACAATTTTTTATATGTAAAACATTTTTAATGTGGAAAAACAAAGTTTTTAAGTGCAACAAAAAGTTTAAAAAAAACGTAAGGTAAAATCTGCTTAACACACAATAAATGTGTATAAAAACTATAGCAAGAGAAAGTGATGTAAAAGAACATGAGCAAGAGAGCTGAACATGAGACCCTGTGCATGGCAGATTCTTCACAATGACTTCACAATGACTTAATTCTCCCATCTTTATGGCTCAGGTGTGCATGGCAAACATCTTCACAGACAAGCTGTCGCAGCTTATTTCTGTACTTGCCACTGCATACAAACGTTAACAAAATACACCTCATGTATTTTGACTGGTAAAGCCCGCTGTCGCTGTATGCAGTTCAATTAAGTCATTGGACTCGCCAAGATGAGAGAGCCTCTCATGTGCACGGTCATATCGGTGGATTTGTTTTCTCTGCACCGTGATGGGGGGAAGATTCAGAACAATACTAAAGATCATTCAGGGACAGCTTCACCATTTTCTTTCTTTTTTTATTCAAAATTTGATGTAGTTATTTCATTCACATTCACTAGGGTTCATTTCACTGAATTTTGACATGCATTAAAATCTCGGCTTCAGTAACACTCACATACATCTTTAAATTTATCCAAGGCAATAGTCTCTTTTAAAATGTCTAGGTTTGGATTATAGAAGTGAACTGTAGCAGGAAAAAATTCTTAGAGGTGCATAAGCATTTATTTCTAATGGCCATAACATTAAAGTATTAATGTATTTAATATGTTTTATAATTGTATTTATAAATTAGTTTGATAAATTACATTTAATACATATGTATATAACTGTATTCAAATGAAAAACAAATAATAATAATTTTATAAAAATTGAAAATGTTGTATTTTATAGAAAGACTCATGCAATTAGGATTTAGTGTTAACTAATTTTTTTGAATATAAAATTTGCTTGGTTTTAATTATTCTTCATCACAGTCTTCTGAAAAGGTTCCATTGCTGGAAGAATCCAGTCTTTGTATGATCTGAACATGTTTGTTAGCTTAAAATCGGTTGGGCTGTCCTTTGAATGATCTGGTTTTCTATCGGTTTGAGGCAGTGGAACAGCCTCACTGGGTTTGGTCTGTGATTTGTCAATGGATATGTGTGCTTTTATTCTCTTGTTCTTTGTGCTCCTCTTCTTGTTTCTCTTATTTCCTTCTTCCTCTCCACCTTCTCTCTGACTCTCTTTCTTCTCTCTCTTCCTGTGTGTGCACCCTCTCTAACCTCCCTGTATTCTTCTTGCAGCGGGCGCATTCATTATAAGGATATGTACAGTTTATTGCGGGTTATCGACCCCCCGCTGGGCTTAGGCAAGAAATGTCCTCATAGGGTGGCCTGCAAGGTTTGAATCCTACTAAACAAAAAACTTAAGCACCTGCTCGCATTGAAGACTGGAATGAATGTTGCTTTTCTTTTTTTATGTTTCCTTTTTTCAGTTTATTTTTTACTCTCATCCACAGTTTTTCTTCTTTTACTTGAAATTCATTTTTGTTATTTTATTCTCCATCTCTATATGCATTCTGATATGACAAATGAGAATGTGCGGGACAATGCAGACACCTTTTTAGAAGCATGACGTGCACTGCCACCGACAGCCAAGTCTGTATGAATCTCTCTGTGGAATGAATCACTTTTAACAGCTAATCAAAAAAAAAAGAGAAACAAACGAATGAATCTGTCATTTTGTTTTGTTTTTTTACTTTCTGCTTGCTGTTGAACCATGCCTTGGCAAACTGGGTGTAACAGTGTGCATTGTTCTTGTTTGGGGACGAAGTGAGGGTTGGGGATCAGAGGACTGCATTGACGTGACTACCATAGTTCACCACCAAGCAGCGGAGCTTTTCTTTGCCTCTTTGAAGCCCCACTGCAGTTCTATGGGACCGTCCCACGATCGCATAGAACAGTGTTTTTACTAGAACTAAAAACCAGCTTCCCCTCCTCCTGTTTAACCTCCAGCCAATCAAGAGCTCTCACGCTCTCAAAACCCCGCCCCTCGCCCAGACCAAAACAATAACCTATGTGTCTTTGTTTTTCCTTCTTGCCATTCTTATTTCCTCCTCCTTCCTCCTTTTTTGGTTTAAATCCCACCATACTCTGGTTTGTGCCATGATGTCCACCCCCCTCCCCCCTCCATTGTTTCTCTTCTTGTCCGTTATTTTATTCGTCCGTCGTCCTCCTCCTCCTATTTTTTACCCCGTTCTCCTCGTTTAATTTCTGGGGGTCTCACCCCTCCCCTCCCACCCCAATCCCCCTTACAGCGGCAGGATCAGTTACAGTGATATGTATGAGATGCTCAGGCACATGTGTCCTCCACTAGGCCTGGGGAAGAGGTGCCCAGCTCGGGTCGCCTACAAGGTTAGCGGCAGCAGCCCGCCGTGGGTGCGCCACAGCCAATCAAAGCTGTCCGTTTTTTTCTGTTAGTGTTGGTGTTGGTGAGCTGCTGTATCTTTCCTTTTATATTGTGGGGTACCGGTGAAGGTGTTAGCCAGCTGACACATGCTCTATGCCAGATGGCATACATCCACTGGAGAGCGGGAACAGAGGGTACCTTGTCAGCCCTTCTGCACCGTACTCAAATACTCACTCACTCACAGATGTAAAGGATTTTGTTGCAAATATAAAAGGAACTCTTAAATGTCATTTTGCAGTCTTGTTCTTAGAGATTATGAGTTTATTAAATTACATATTTGTTCAAATCAACATGAAATCAGAATGGACCCTTTTTAGTTCATTACCTGCTCTTATTCATTGGCACAGTGTTAATCAGGAAAGGTTTGTCTTTATAATCTTTCATCAAATTTTAGTAAGTAGTTCCACCTCTGCATCAACTCTATGAATTCCTAGTGAATAAAATCAAGTCACCCTCTATTTTTGTTCTCACTGAATTTCCTGTTTCACTCATGAATGTTACATTGCAGAAGTAAAGTGGGTTGCGAATGCTATTTCATGTTGACTTTAACTAGAAAACAAGGAATCCTGTATTATTTCCACATTATGTTTTCCATGTTCATTGCAGAAATAGAATCTAATTTTAAATACAAATATGAAGGATGTAGACACAAATATATATGTTTTACTGTGTGCGTGTACAGAAGGACTGGGAAGGATCATGTGCCTTTGGTCCTCTGCGTCTCTCCCTCCAGTGGATGATTCTTAAAGTCTTCAGATGATTTCGACAGTTGACACTTTCGTAGGTTCAGATTGGTTGCAATCATGTAGCGTTTAGTCTTTAGAACCACTTTGTCCTTTTGATTTTTTTCGGCAAATCCACTAGAATCACAGATACGCTTTCCCACCTGTCCTTCGTTTGATTCTGTCAATGCAGTTCTGGCCTGTTTCCGTTCCCCTCTCTCTTTCTCTCTTACTGTCTCTCGCTCTATCTCTACTTTTTCCCACATTCCTTGGGTTTGCATTTTCAGCCACTACATTTCTACATCCCTGCACAAAAATTCCTCTTCCTTTTTTTCTCTTGCTCTCTCCCTCTTTAACTTCCTGTCTTCCTCTCCCTATCTATCTTGCATTTCTTCACTTTTAATCAGCATGCTTCTTAATTATGTAAGTAGAAGGAATCTGAATGCATACTTGTGTGACAATTACATCCAGCCATTTTACATGTCATGTTCATCATATTAATGCTGTGCACCTTAGTCAGGGTAGATGGCATGTTTAGTTTGAGGTGAATGAAAAGGTGAATGTTTTTTCATACGAAATATCATGTGTCACTGTCATTTTGCAGGTGGATGCTGTTATCAGTATCCCATAATATATATATTTATAGTCTTTTTTTATACTGTACAGAGGTGTTTTAGGTGTTCATGCTTATACTGTCCAAAACCGAGGATTTGTTGCCACATCTTTCACCAATTACTGCATAGTGAATTTCAAATACACAACCATTCAAAAGTTTGAAGTTTTTAAGATTTTCTCTTATGCTCACAAAGGCTGCATTTATTGGATCAAATATACTATAAAAAAAAGTTATATTGTGAAATATTATTACAGTTTAAAATAACTCTTTTCTTTAATAATATATTTTATAATATATTTTAAATTGAAAAATAACGGCAAAGTTGAATTTTCAGCAGTCATTAAATTTGTAATAGAATAGATAGAAATATGATAAATTATGTCTAATTTATACATTTATAAACATTAAAATGAACATTATACATGTCTTTACTGTCACTTTTGATCATTTAATGCATCCTTGCTGAATACAATATCAATAATTATATGTAGATATTATTAAAAAAACATTTTTAAATCTTACTTGCACTAAACTTTTGAATGGTAGTGTATTTAAGGACAAAGTGCACATTTCTGAGGGGGAAAAAACTACTTGAAATCTTATTTGACTGTTCAGACTGAGAATGGAAAACATCAGATTTCATTGCTGTTCACATGACAAAAAAATAAACATGTTTTAGTCAGATATGCAAAGAAAATCAATCCTAGATTGCAGCAATTTTTTCTCTTTAATATATATTTTTTTAATATAGGAGTTTTTTTTCCTACTGCATGTGTCATCAGCTGTACACAACGACACAACAATACGTTGAACTTGGACAGACTATCTATATTTTGCATCTAAATAAAAATGGCATTAATAAACTAAGACACTAAGATTAAAAGAACAGACTTCCTCTATGGTAGACATTTTGCAAAATGTAATTTAATTATGAGCTGACAAAGTTTTGCTGAGACTCTCTTCACTCCAAACTCTTCCTTTCACTTTCCTCATTCTCTTATTGTTTCCCCTCATCTCAAACAACAGCATTCTTCTTTTTCTCTCTTTCTCCTCTCAGACCTTCTCTCTATCCATTGCCAAGCACACCATTCCCCCCTTTCTCATAATTTTTCTATGTGGTACACATCTCATAGCTTTCCAGTCTGAAGTGAACTAACTTCTATACCTGTTGCCCCTAATCCAGTCCTACACTTCTCGGTGTACAACACAACCATTTCCCCCTTTAACTCTGAAGGGAATGCCACCCCTTGTTCTGACCTTCAAAAAACTGCACCCGTTTTGCATCGAGAGATCAGAAGAAGAAAAAAACTGTAATTAACCCTATGAGAAATCACCCAAAGAAAGATAAAGATGCTAAACAAACCCAGTAATACAAGTGGTCAATGAAAGATAAAATGATACTCTCTGTGCGCGGCTGCACTGCTCTTGTTCTGTGAGGGGTGGGAGGGAGGAGGGGGGTGCATGCAATGCATGACGCATGGAGTAGGGGTTGATGTTTGGGTGGGCTGGGACTGGTGGGGAGGGCGGTTCGTACCATCGCTGAACTCCAATTAGGGGTCGTGCTGCATTGCATGCGCTTTTGCATGGCCACTGCTGGAACGCGGCTCATGCTTGTTGGTATCTACACCTCCAAGGAACGGCGGACTGGTCTGAAATGGGCACACGCATATACACGTGCTCACTCACACATGCTTACTTACTCACTCTAATGCCATGTCGTGTGCTTGTGTGTTCCAGTTTCATGAAGGCACATCCAATGCATGAAAACCGGCATCTAAAAACAACAATCCGCTGTTTTTAGGTGCTCTTTCATTCATTGGTTTGTCCAAAATATACAATCTCCAACAGGTAGGGGGAGCTCTTTAGCAGTAGCCTTTCATGAGTATGTTGAATTTAGCTGCCATTTGTGCCCTCAGTCTTTAATAGCCGATTTAAGGTCAATTGATTGCACTTTATAGGGTCCCAAATATGTATTTTCACACTTTAAAATGTACAAATTTGCAGTAGATATGAAATAACAAATCAGTTGGCAGTGCCAAATAAGACAAGCTTATGCCTGATCTGAGATTAGTTTTCACAGGCAGAGGAACACAGAAGAGATGACTTCACCCCCTGTGGTACTGCTCCTGTTATCTGTGAGGGCTCCAATTAAGTCACATAATTGATGTGTATGTTCTGTATATGTTCTATGAACTGTGTGAATGGTTCATTCAAACATTATAAGGTTGCATATTGTTGGTCAGTTATTTGTCAGTCTAAGAAAACTGCTCTCACAGAGGCCAAATTAATCTTTCCGTATATCCCTTTTTGTGTGTTTGTTTTAGTATCACCATAAAGTAATTACATGATGCATTGTTTGTACACAACCACTACATCAAAAAAATAAATAAAATAATTTAATTTTAAAAAATCTACAGTCAAACCTGCAATCAAATGACCTATTTAAAAACGTAATCTCCTGAAAATTGTGTGGCCAGTAATTTATTCTTTGGCTACAAACTGCTGAGCTCCCCAAGCCTTTTATTAGTCCACCAAAAGCATCTGATTGGAGGTTTAACTTACACAGCCCCGCCCTCATCCCCTCTGATTGGCTCTTCACAGAGACTGCTTCGCATGGACCTACCTGTTGCAGATGACAACACGGTGCATTTCAACTCCACTCTGATGGCTTTGATACGCACAGCTCTGGACATCAAAATCGCTAAGGGTACAGAACGACATCCCTCTTTCTTTTTTCTTACTTCCTTTCTATCTATCTTTTATTTTACTAAAAGTAAGAACTAAATAAAAGGTCATATGTATCATTAAATGTATAGATAATAAATATGGATAGCTAAAAATCATTAAAAAAAAATTTTTTTTTACATTTCTTTTTGTGGAAAAAAGAATTACACATTTGTTTTTGTGATATTTTATTAATATTGGATTGGAGCTTTTGTTATATTGGCATATTTTGTTTGTCTATACATATGTGCATGCGTATGTGTGTGTATGTACCCTGCTCTGACATCACACGTTTACAGGAGGCGCAGACAAACACCAGATGGACGCGGAGCTCCGTAAGGAAATGATGGCGATTTGGCCAAATCTCTCCCAGAAGAACCTGGATCTGCTGGTAACACCACACAAGTGTAAGTTGCAGATTGGTTTGTAAGGGAAAAAACTAATCAAAGATCACCAATTCATCAGAGGACAGCTTCTGTCAGCCCACACCGCTCAGCACCCTCTGATCAGGCAACACTTTCAAAACCTTTAACTAATCCTTCCCCCATCCCCACATGACGCATGTCTTACACTGTTCATTAGATCAGCAATACAATACCATGCCTTACTATATTAATACTATTTAAAACCATCCTGTTTCCTAACTATATGATTTATTGCTTATAAGACCTTGTTTCTGTTTACATCTGACTCTCAACTTGACTTGAGTAGTTTGTTTTGGAGTATTTAAAACGGTATACATCCTTTTTGCCATCCTCATTTAGACCTTTTAAATAATTGTTCATCCACTTTTAAACTACGTATCCTCCATTTCTCCAACCTCTATCCTTTTCTCCCTCTTCCTTTGTCTGTTATCAGGGGGTGCCTCGCTATAGATGGATTCTCTATAGAAGTCTTTTCACTCCAGCATGTGTAAAGCACTAAGCTGGGCTTAACCTCCAAACCACAGAGCCTTAAAACAGTGTACCCCGAGTTATTAACTCATATCTGAGGATGATTACAGATGTTAGAGACTTTACATTTTAGTAAGATGACCAGAATATATTGAAATCTGTGTATATGATCTATGACAAGTAGCTGAAATACATTTGTGTTCTTTCCTTTAGCATGTTTTCTGTTTAATTTGAAATTTCAGCATGTTTTAGAGTTATTTTTAAAGTTTATTGTTGATCCCTGGGGGGTTTCAAGCCAATTTTACTATGAAATTGTCCTAATAAGAAAGTGTTTTATTTAAAGGGGTTTCTTTTTGTCATTTATGGCAGCTCAAAGTTTTTCAAATTTATGTTTTGTGTCTCGTTCAAACTCTGGATACCACTGCAGAGTTTTGATGAAAAATTTGAGCTCCTCACAAAATAGTGTAATCCTAAATAGTGTTCTGATATTGTTGCCTCATTCGTGGCATCTGTCCATAGTGAACTGGCTTGAGTCTTTGTAGGAATTCAATATAGGCTAGAAATATGAAGCTAAATAAGGTACTTGAGAAAAATAAGAGGCTTTAATTAATGAGGATCTGACTGTGAAAAGACTATCAGCTCTGTGGCATTTTGTATTTGTCAGTGTACTTTGTCTAGTGTCTGTTGTGTAAAATGTTTATTAGATGTGTATATATGTTGCTGTATATACAGTGGCACCAGAATATATTTGGGCACTTAAGCCATACTAAAATGTTTTGAATGTCATTGCATTTGGTAGCCGCATACCAGGTGGCATTTATTTTAACGAAAGCAAAATATTTTACAAAAAGTTGACAAAAGTTGGTTAAATGTCACTGCAAATATGCCTAAGAAAAGTACAATTAGTTAGTGATATTTTGTTGTCTATGCAATGACATTCATACTTGTATAACTGTGATTTAAGAGACTAGATCAGCTGAATTTGTGAAATTTGTCTTGTAATTTGTTGTGTACCTGTTGTCTAGATTCTCAGTCCCAGATTAAGACTCATTCTGGACTATGAAGAACTTCTGTTGGTTCATTCCCATTGAGGTTTCTTGTGACTGGGTCTGAGGGACTAGACCTTTGTGTTTGTGGCATGCCTTGCCTCCAACTCCCATTCCCCTCTTGGCTCAGGGTCCCATTCCACCCCGGTCTAATTGTGCAGGGTAACTTTTTCATCCTTTCAGCAGCGACAGACCTGACAGTAGGCAAAATCTACGCCGCCATGATGATTATGGAGTACTACCGGCAGAGCAAGGCCAAAAAGCTGCAGGCGCTTCGTGAGGAGCAGGTACAACTTCAGACAAACAAACAAATGCCAAGTCTGCTCTCCTTTCTCAACCTTTTGCAACTCTTATCCCAACAAAGCATGTAGTCTAATTAGTCAAGTTTGCAGCTGATTAGCTTTGCTAATCGACAGTGGTAACAGCCTGTCCACACAACAATCTTAAATCTGTTACCTTCTGACTTATTGGCTATGTCTGAAACTAATTAAAAATATTAATACAAATATAAATTTTTAGGAGAAACATTTCTGTTTTTATGCTCATTTTGAAAAGTTTGTTTGCATTTGGTGCTTTCTTATAGCATTTTTATGAGATATTCCAAAATAGGCATAAAAATACATAGTTGAAAACCAAACTATTCACAGACTAGGCAGTTAAGCAGCTGCCTGCAGTTTCAGGCACAGCCAATGTCTCCTTCTCTCTGTTTTATGCTGATATTAGTGCTTATTAAATATAGGATGTACACTACTGTTCAAAAGTTTGGCCTAGGTAAGATTTTTTTCTGTTATTTTTAAGTCTTTTATGCTCAGCAAGGCTGCATTTGTTTGATCAAAAATACAGTAAAAATAGTAGCATTGTGAAATAGTATTACATTTTAAAATAACTTTTCTATTTTAATATATTTTAAAATGCTATTTATTCATGTTATGATAAAGCTGAATTTTCACCAGTCATTTCTCCAGTCATAAATCATTCTGGTATGCTGATTTAGTGCTCAGTATTATCAATGTTGAAAACAGTTTTGCTGCTTAATATTTAATAATTTTTTAGGACTATTTGATGAATAAAAAAAAGTATTTATTTGAAATAGAAAGCTTTTGTAACATTTTAATGTCTTTGCTGTCTGCTGTCACTTTTGATCAATTTAATGTATTCTTGCTGAATAACAATATTAATCTTTTTTTTTTTGTAATCTTGCCGATCCCAAAGTTTTAAACAGTAGTGTATTTCACTTCCCACATGGAGCACAATGGGTTAAAAGATGTACATACAAATTCTTTGATATTTTAGTGCTTTTATGGCATGGAAAAAATAACACTGATTATAGACACTTATTTCATTTCACATTTCATTTACAGAGTTAGAGCATGCTTAAAAACACATGCAGTAATTAATAAGGGTATATGCAATGATGAATGATACAACATGGCCTTTTGTCAGCGTCACTCCTGCCCCCTTCCCAAGAAAAGTTCCCATCCTGTACAGGCACAGTGTCCATTGTTTCTGCCTGCATTTTCAATTTAGTAATACTTGGTGCCTTCATATATCTACCACAAAAAGCATGGACACTCTGCCGGCATCTGGGAATGGTCTAAATCTATGTTTGTGTCTTGCCTCACCTGATTCCCTGTCTGTCTCTTTACCTGTCGTTCTTCACTTGATCGCACCTGTACCTCAGCGCCTTCCTCTCAACATCAGCTGCGCTTTTGTGGCTGTCTCACTCTCTATATCCATCCCTGATGTCTCTATATCTATGTCTGTCAACTTGTTTGCATTTTAACTAATTCTTTTTGATCTTTCCTCCTTGTTTCCATCCTTTTTGACTTGTTGGATCCACTGTCAATCTCTTGTTCTTTTTTGTTTTGTGTAATTTTCTCTGTCTGTTTTGTCTTGTCTTCCTCCATTTGTTGATTGGTGAGGTTGATTTATCAGTTTCACTAAGATGGAATCTTTTCTCCCTCCATGTGGACACCGTTTGTTTAGCCAAATATTTCATTAATGGATGTTGAGGGGAGGTTCTTGGTGTAACCTTTGGGCTACCACAGTCTCTGAGATTTCTAGTGTTCATAGTTTAAGTTTCACCCACCCACAACATGTAGTTCTGCAAGTATGAACCTCAGATCTTCACTGTAGCATGCCCAAATTGTTACTACCACCCATATCTTCCGGTGGGTTGGATGGAAATGCTTTGACCCATCAGTACCTACCTAGACAGCACAGCCCCAATGGAGGACTCCATTCAGGTTGGTGAGGGCACAGGAGGACTCCATTTCCCATGATGCCCTCTGGGGGATCTCTGCTGTCTGATACCCCACCACCTGTGTAATGCACGGTGGCTTGTGTTTGTTTCCCCATATCCCATGAGTGTGTCTGATCCCAGCTGCAGGCCATGTTCGTATCTCACACAGAACCGAACGCCATTAATGTTTCAGCGCTTGGAGCCATCCCCGAACCAGGAAGGGGGACAGGGGGTGAACGGTCTCCCCGAGTTGCCGCAGGAACCTGTCAACAGCCTGTGAGTAGCATCTTGATCTTTTTATGCAAGTGATGTTTTTATTAGCCTTAAGCTTAATCTGTCTGAGTCAGTCTCATGAAATCATATCCAGGTCATATTTCATCCCAAAGGCAAAATTAAATATTAAAACATTGTTTGTTGCATTAATGAAAAATTAAGCCTATTTATGTACCATTTCATTGTGACATTGTTCATGAGAATTAAGCACATTTTCCTCAGAATTGCTTTAATAAATACAGACATTTTGCTAACCATTTTTAAAGCCAATTATTTTCTAAAAAATCAATTATAAATTAGAATCGTTTTATAAAATTAATTGTAAAAAATGTATCAAATAAAATAAAATGCCTGAAATGCAATTTTTTTGTTGTTAAAAAGTAATAATAAAAAAAAATTTTAAGTACAAAATTCTAAATGTTATAAAAGAGTACGTTACAGACAGCACAACAAATACTGCCATTATGTATAAACATTCAACAATTTAAATAATATATGTACCCAAAAAGACTCATGGCTGTATTCGATCAAAAGGGTGCTTCTACTAAATACTGAGCAAAGGGTCTGAATACTTAGGACCATGTGTTATTTCAGTTTTTCTTTTTTAATAAATCTGCAAAAATGTCAACAATTCTGTGTTTTTCTGTCAATATGGGGTGCTGTGTGTACATTAATGAGGAAAAAAAATTAACTTAAATGATTTTAGCAAATGGCTGCAATATAACAAAGAGTGAAAAATTTAAGGGGGTCTGAATACTTTCCGTACCCACTGTATGTATGTGTATTTTTTCACATGTATTTTTCATAGTAATGAAAGTCTGTCATTAAATGTGCTTAACTGGCATGAAAACAATGTCAAAATTATTAACTGTGTGCAAAATATATTTTCTTATTTTTCCTTTTAAATTTGGGGTAAAATATTACCTGAACCTGAGAGGTTTTGTGAGATTCACCTGTTTCAACTGGTGCTCTTTGTCTCTTCTTTCACTGCTTAGCTTTTGACTTTCTTCTCCTTATAGGCTGCACTTCTGCTCTTTCTTTGTTTTACCTTCTCTCAGCTGTCTCTCACATTACGTTTCAAATCTTCGATATATATCTATCTGCTTTTGTATTAATTCTGCAGTATATACTTATATACATTTGTAATTGTGTTTCTGTAATATTTTTGTCTGCAAAAGGCATTTTGTACGCAAGTGTGTGTGTGACTGAGTAAATGAATTAACCAGTCAACATCTTTCTCTGGTTCAGGCCTCTGGAGGGTGGAATGATCGAGAGCCAGTCGTGGGTGACGTCACGAGCCCAGGAAATGTTCCAGAAGCCTGTTCCGGAAAACTGGAACCCTGACAGACCATATCCTGAAGACCATCACGACAGCCGCCACAGTCCACAGGTAATATCGGAGAACCTCAGATCAGAAAGGCGATTTTGTCTTGTTTAGATCTGAATTTAAAATTTTAGCAGGAGTTGACTCGGACACTTGAAACCCGCCAAAGTGGCCGTGACTATATCAGCTTCTCTCAGCCTTTGGTATTGAAAGAACTGTGTGCTTGAGCCAATCACTGTCTTCCCAGCCATCATCCCTTTTTCGCTGCTTTTGGACACACTTCTCATTCATATTATCACTCTTTCTATCTCTTCTGTCTCTGTCGGTCTGTAGCTTACCTCTTTATCTGTCTGATATATCATTCTGAACTTCACTGACCATCGTAGAGCGTTTGTATAGACCCTCCCACCTCTGCCAGACTGCAGGGATGTTTCACTGCTTGCCTGCTTCCTCACTGTCTGCTGGATCGTACCAAACCCCCTCCAGACTCATCTCTTCTTCAGTGTGACTCTTCTCTGTAGCTCAGCAGTCATCCAACCCTGATGTTTCCCTGCACTAGCAAAGGAGATGCTGAATAAACAGCTTTAGGCTTAACAAGCATGTTGGAAAGTACTTAAACCAGTAGTGGGCAATCAGACAGAGTCAGTGTGCACCTAGTTTCAGCCTACAAGAGATCGGTAAACAAAAGCTGTGACCTGACGCGATCCAGCCAGTACTGTGAAATTTTAGGCCAAACCTCAAATCACATATATGTTTTATTTCACCACTTTGGGTATTTATGCAAAACAAGTTATGCTAAATTTGTAATATTAATTTGTTTTTCCATTAATTTACAACCCCTAAACCTAAAATTACACAGAAAAATTGGATAATTGAAAGATTATCAGATTTTGTGTTGGAGTTAGGTCATATTTAATTTGGGATTTTGAATTTGTAAAGACAAAAATCAAATATATAAAGCAGAACAACAGCTATTTTTTATTTTATTAAATTTTTTATTCTTGGCTGGAATAAGCCGCGATGTGAGCTGATAGTCAGAGACTAGTGTGCACCTGTTCTTTTATTCCACTCAGTTAGTGATATGCATCATTTGGTAATGGCTAATGACTAGCTCAAGTGTGCTAATCTTCAGCTGAAATGCACTTTTGCGCATGATATTGCCCTCTACTGGTTTATCCCACCCGATAGAGCCGTAGGCCGGTGAAGCGGGCATCAGCACGGCCCACATGCTGTTGATCTGTTTTGCAGACGGTAGAAATGAGAGAGATTGGGCCTGTTGGGGACGGTTACTCGGACACTGAGCCCTATCACCCAATGGAAGGGCATGGGCGGACCATCTCCATGCCACGCCTCTCAGCAGACAACCAAGTGAGCACCTTCATCCTTTCATCCATCCATTCACCCATTTTGTCTTTCCATCTTTTATTTGTTATCATCCATTCCAATATCCATCCTCAGTCAGTTATCCAGCTAACAGCCTTTGACAGCTTCAGTTGGGGGGACCAAACTTCAAAAGTTTGGTGTGCTGTCATGCTAACAAGTCAATAAATGTTAGCATGTCTTTGTCAAAGGGCTCATGGATAAGTGGCTCACACCCTGACCTTCACTTACATGCGTGTGTGTGTGTGAGAGTGTGAGTGTGAGTGTGAGTGTGAGTGTCGCACAACAGTAATTATTCATAGTGAGAGTGATGGCTTCCAGGGGTTGAAGATTGATTGTGTTTGATATGCTATTTTGTGTAATCTGTCTCTTGCTGGGACCCATCCAAATTGGCCAGAACTGGAAAAAGGAGAAGTGTCTTCCCGGGGGGGGGGGGGGGGGAGAGAGAGAGAGAGAGAGAGAGAGAGAGAGAGAGAGAGAGAGAGAGAGTTCTCTGCATCATCATCCTCAACACCTAGCTCACTTTCAGGAAAACCTTGGTGTGTCTGAAGTGTGCTGCTGCCAGAGCTGGATTTGAGGTAGAGACAGAAGTAGGTTGACTCATGAGAAAACAGCCTGTTTGTGCATAATTACAGAATATATAGATCCAAACTGATTAGATAAGTCTTCAGTGTCACATGATGCTTCAGAAATGATTCTGAAAAATATAAAATTTAAAACAGTTGTGCTTGATATAGATTATTATATTTTTATTATATATAATATTTTTGTGGAAACCATAATACTTTGTTTTTTGATAAATAGAAAGAACAGGCTTTATTTGAAACAGAAAACATTAAAAATGTCTTTACTGTCACTTTTGATTAATGTGTCTTTGGTGAAAATATAGTAGTATATTTAAACATGTTTAATATTTAAAATGTTAGTTAAGTGAAACATTTAAAAAATACTTTACTAAATTATTTTTAAATGCAACTTATAATTTAAGAAAACATTTCATAATCCATTTAACTGTTGACTAAATTTAAGACGCATCCCTTACATGCAAAAAAATAAAAAATAAATTAAGTATGCACATAAGCACTGCATAAAGTGCTATATAAATCCCCTCATTCGTTCATTCATTCATTCATCATTCATACTTTTGAAACACTACCACAAATCAACCTCTGGAGGCAGTAACACGCTCACAACATTAAATTCCGCAAGCATTCACCCACAACACATCACATAGAAGAAATTATGCATTTAATACAATTATGCTATAATGCATAAATGTACACACACACACACACACACAGAGCATATCTCACCCTGACATAAATAATCCCCATGATCTCTTGGTTGACTCTCCTCTGGAGATGTGTCTGGGTTTAGCAATTTGTCCAAGTGTGTATAAGATAAGTGTGAGAGAGTCGTGTGTGTGTGTGTGTGTGTGTGTGTGTGTGTGTGTTTAAAGGTGAGCTAAACATAGAAACCTCACAAACTATTAACAGTCTGCTAGAATCAATATAGGTTCACTTGTGTGTTGGAAGTGTGGTGTGTACAGTACATACCAGGAAGTGTGAGGATCCAAAGTCTGTGCTTGTGTGTGTCATGTAAAGCTGTAACGTAGATGTGGTTCTTGTTCTTGTGACTCACTCTTGTCTAACACTGCTCTGCCCCACAGAGTGTGCGTTCTGCTGCGGTAAGTGTGTTAGTGTGCTTCCTATCTTCCTCTACACTCGCTCAATTTTTGTCTTTTTTCTCTTTCCTTCCCCCCCCCCTCCCCCCAAACCCTTCCTGTCAATGTGTTTCTGTGCTCTCTCCAAATTAAAATGGGCATCACTATTTCTCCCTTCTCTACTTTTCCACTTTACTTGTTTATTGTGCTCTCATTTTTATTTTTACTTATTTCCTTCTTTCTTCATTTTGTTTTTTATTTATTTATTTGTTTTGGTCTTGTCTGTTCTTCCTTTTAATGGGTTTATGGTTACCCTTTTTATTTTGTATTTTTTACTTTTAAACTTCATGTTATTTTGCACAACCAAACATGGTTATTAATTTATTTGCCTGTTTTACCCATAATGTCTCATGGTTTCCTCCTTCCCTTTTTCTTCTTTTCATTTTCTGCACATTGAATTTGTCTCCATTTTTATGTCATCATATCTCTGGTCCCCTTGGTTTCCTACTCGCCTTTTCCCTTCTTTCTTCCTTCCTTGTTCCATTTCCTCTGTACTTCCTTTATCTTCCCCTCTCTCTTTTTTCCTCTCACACTTTCTATGCTGTGCTCTGTGTGTATCGTCCCTGTGGTCTCATGTGTGTGTCCTGTTCTGCGCACCGTCTGTCTGCTGTTCGACAGCGACGGAGACACAGGCCGCGAGGAAGTAACCTCAGTGTATGTACCATCTCTGGCTTCCTGCCTCTCTCTATCTTCTCCATGCTCTCCCTCGTTCTCTCTCTCTCTCTCTCTCGCTCTTGCGCTTTTTGTCTGTTGTAGGAGTCCGCGTCTCTCTTTATGTCTTGATGTTACACTGAACTCTTTATTTCATGCCATCCTTCTTGTTATTCACCCTCTTTTCCTGTTTTCCCTCTGTATATTCTGTTTGTCACTGTACCTTTCTCTCTCTATGCCTTTTTCCTGTCCTGCAGCCCTGTATCCCTGTGTGTGTGTGTGTGTGTGTGTGTGTGTGTGTGTGTGTGTGTGTGTGTGTGTGTGTGTGTGTGTGTGTGTGTGTGTGTGCGCCTGTATCTTATCTCTGTATTTCTGGTGCTGGGAACATGGGGAGCTTTTGCTGTCTCGTAGTTCTTAACGCATGGATTTCAAACATGAAATGTTGTTAGCATGTTTCAATAAGGCACATGGCATAAATCATTATGTGTGTGAGTGAAAAGAAAAGCATGAAGTGTTATTTCAGTTTTCAGATCATGTTTAGAGCAGGAGAGCGATATGTGCCCAAGTCTGTCTTTGTGCGTCCGCACATGTTATAGATTGTCATGTTGACCATCATGTCTCCGGGTGTGTGCATGGACAAATGTGCTTAACTTTATTTTGCTGGATTGGGTGGTGTGTGTTTAGCTAAGGCAGAGAAAGACAACGAGTATTTAATGGGTCCGCTTGAATTAGAAAAGCTGCAGTGCATGTAAGTCAAGTCAAGTCAAGTCACCTTTATTTATATAACGCTTTTAACAATACAGATTGTGACAAAGCAACTGAACAGCATTAATTAGGAGGCATGTAAGGCATGATCTATCTATCTATCTATCTATCTGTCTGTCTGTCTGTCTGTCTGTGAATCTTTGTATCTGTCTGTCTGTTATTCTCTCTCTGTACTATTTCTCTTTCTGTCTTCACTGAGCATGACAGATATACCTGTGCCTTGGTTTTCTCTGTGGGCGTGGAATGGGCTGAGTGTTACTGTTAACCGAATTATATTCAAATGTTTTCAATCACGCACACAAATGCACTCATACCACTGCATATGATCAAGCTGCTCTATGAAAAAACACACATCAATATAAACTTTTGGTTTTATAAACTGTCTTTCATTTCTTTTCTGTAGACCATCACAGACACAAGTCCAATGCGCCGTTCTACATCCTCATTGGTCCACGGACGTTCAGGTCGAGGCGTGCGATTGGACGATTACTCTTTGGAACGGGTGGTGTCAGAAGAGGGTCACCGACATGGTCCGCAAAGAAGACAACGAGATCGAGATCGGGAGAGAGACCGCAGTCACCGCACCTCAGAGAGATCCCTTGCCCGCTATACAGATGCAGACACAGGTTTTTAAAATTAATAAGTTCTGTACATATTATGAGAAACAACTGTGTCACAGTAACACTTTATTTTGATAGTCCACTTTAGACAACTATATGTAACTTTGCAACTACATGTCAACTACCAGTCATTAGAGTACGAGTAGACTGTCTTCTCAATATCTGCTAACACTTTATTTTGATGTATAACTAACTTTACAAGTACATGTCAACTTATTCTACTGACCCCCTAACAATCAATTAGTTGACATGTAGTTACTTATAGTCAACAAAAAGAATAAATAAAGTGTCACCATTAAAAAAAAATTTAAAATTTTTTTACTCACCATCATGTCATTCGAAACCCCTTCATAATCCATCCTCACTTAGACAGCAACTGGGTTTGATGTTCCTCTCTACTGCTATCTCATTTCATTTCTGTGTTGGCTTTGTCAGGTCTGGGCACGGATCTTAGCACCACTACACAGTCAGGTGACCTCCCACCTAAAGAGAGAGAACGAGAACGGGGTCGTGCAAAAGACCGTCGCCACCACCATCATCATCATCACCACCACAGCTCGGTGGATAAGGAGCGGTGCAGTCATGAGCGTGACTACCACCGCCATCCACACGACAGATCTGATCGCCACTGGTCCCGCTCACCGAGTGAGGGGAGAGGGCATAGACAGGTGGGGCAGACACTCACTGAAATACCACTTTAATATTATGCACATATTCAGCATTATTTTTTTGAATTTCCTCACAATAGTACGTAAAAGGGTTATGTCAGATTAAATGTTTTTCTTTCCCTGATCTCCACTTATAATTTTAATCAAGGTTTCTTACTCCAATAACAGTGTGATTTACTTTAACCCAAACATTTCCCACCTTTTCTCTGGCTATTTTTTGCTGCTTGAAAAAGCCTTTGTTATGATTATTGCTTCTGTTATCCTGATTTCTTCACATATAAAATAAGCAATAATATATATATATACTTTCACTGTTTCCTTATATTGAGATCCTTAAGATGACTAAGAAGCTATACGAAGCCAAACAAAACAATAGCACAACATTTGTGGGCGATCATGTACTATTCTGAAATGAGGTGTTGCAGTTTATTTTCAGTAGATAGTCTTTTTTGGACTGGAGAAGGTTTTGCACTCTGAAAGCTAGAGTATTTTTATATAATATGTTGAACAATTTTTTTAGGTCTAGTAAAAATAACATTAACTTCTGCTATTCATATGTGCTGTTTAACACATTAAAAAAATATTTCAGACCTAAAGTTTGAGTACTGACAGAGGCAGAAACATCACCAATCAAACTTTTTATTAAAATTGTTTATAACATATTTCATGATGTGATCATTACAAAAGAGTAAACCCTTGAACATCATTTTAAAGCAATCCTTTATTCACTTTATTCAGCACAAGTAGACATTTATGTGCATAAGTCCATGGTTTAGATCTTTACAGTAACCTGCAATGAGGAGCCTGAGGGATGAAAGATATCTGGAGTACACAGGTGTGGGTCCACGTGGGAAGACTGTAACCAGACAGCATATGTACACCTGTGACCTTATCATGACTGCTTACTGAAATCAGTTTCTCTTTTTTTGTGTTATTCTTTTGTTTATCTTCTTTTATCACTGTGGTTTCTGTCCATTTTTCTCGATGTGACTTGTGGCTTCTCTGTGTCTGCTGTTTTGCCTCATTGCCGGTTTGTTTCTTTCTGGTTTTATTGATGTTGTTGTTTCCACACACCTTTATTCTCTCTCTCTTTCTCGCACTTACTCTCCCTTGTCTATCTCTCCTCTTCCTCCTCCACCTCCTCCTCTTGCCGGTGTGTGCTCCTCTTTTGTTTGACGTTAATTTTGTGGTGTTTTTTTATTTGCCTTGTTTTAATTTTCATGTAGGGCAGTAGTTCTGTGAGTGGAAGCCCCGTTCCCTCGACGTCGGGGACCAGCACCCCCCGGCGTGGCCGTCGGCAGTTGCCCCAGACACCGTCTACACCGCGTCCTCATGTCACCTACTCCCCTGCCGTCCGCAAGCCTCCGTACGGCTCCCCGGGCCAGGGTAGACTCCGTTCCCCTTCCCCGCAACAATTCTCTCCATCAGGTCACGAACCGCCCTACCATCGTCCACCCTCCCGCCACGCCTCGCCCCATCACGGCTCACCCCAGCACGCCTCCCCGCGCTCCCCCAGGCATGCATCGCCCAGGTCCCCACGTCACGGCCGCTGGGGTCCGCCATCTGACAGCCTAGAGGGCGACGGACCTTTCTACGATCGGGACTATGAGTACGAGCGGCACCATGAGCCGCCTGCCTACGAGCAGAGTCTATCACAGGGCAACCCCCACCCTCATTCACACCCGCATCCCCGATTGCCAAGGACTGCTCTTCACGGGCCTCCCTCGCACCCACGCCGTATGCCTAACGGCTACCGTTCCTCCTCGCCCTCCCCGCACCGGCGTGGCCCCCACCCAGGCCCACACCGGCCACCCCATGGCCGTGGGCCCCGGAAGGGGTTGCACGAACAATATAGCGAGACGGACGAGGATGATTGGTGTTAGTGCGCAGGGTGACCAGGAGGGGGCGCCACTGGACTTAAACCAAGATGTTTATGCACCGCAGCAGGGAGAGAGGGGGGCAGAAGGGGAAATGCAAACAGGGCGAATGGCCCATTGTGAGACTCTGAACATTGGAGCAGCACATACAGCTCCCCTACTCTCTCTCTCTCTAATGCTTTCTCCTGTTCTCTGGACTACGTTTCCCATGCTGCTCAGCACGCAAAGGAATGGGAGCGTATGAGCGACAAATGGAGTGGTTGCGTTTATGGACTGAACTTTAAAGATCAGAGTCGTTGTGTTTAAATGCTCCACACCAGACTGAGTAAGACCGATTTCTTCTTGACCGATGGGAAAAATGAGCAACATCCTCTGTCGATCAGAAAAAAAAAGAATTTTGAAAATGAAGCCAGAACCCATTTTCCCCCTCATATCTATGCCTCTTAAAAAGACCCAAAAAATAAAAAGAGAAGGAAAAAATAGACATTGTTGAAGAAAAAGTAAGTGCTCTTGTGAACGAGAGCTCTACCTACTGCAAAACCAGCCCCATGTGCTGGCCAATATTGATGAGTTTTATCATCTGCGTTTACTGTTACCAACTCAAGATGCTGAGTGACCTCATCACCTGGGGTAGGGGTTTACTGTCAGAGAGGCGTGGCATATGAAAGGACTCAGCGCAGGCGTGAGGAGGCGAGTGGGCGTGGCACACTGAAACCCCACCCACTAACTGCCACTCGGTCCTGACAAGGATAAGACAGCGGGAAAAAAACTAAATGGCAGAAGAGGGAGGGACGGAAAGACCATTTCCTCTTCAGAATGTCTTCAGTTGATTACATCTTCTTTTTGAACATTTGGAGCTTGGTTATTCTGTTGCATTTGCTCAGCTTTCTTTGATATTTTTGGACTAAAATCTGATGGAAACTTGCATGATTGATTTAAAATATATATATATATATATATAAATATATATAAATACATTTAACAGACAGAAGATTTACTGTGGGTAGGGGGGGTGATAGCTCTCTTTTTTCCGTTCAGTTGGAAGTTCTTTCTCTCGTTTTCTCCCTGTTGCTCTTGCCATGTCTACAGATCTTTATGTGCAGATGGAGTTTATAGGTGGTGTTTTCTATGTTATATCCATCTGAGGATCCCAGATGATGTTCTGCACTGTTTATTATTACTTTGGATTGCACTAAAAACGAGCCTGAAGGGTGAAACCTCCCTCATTACGGCTCTGTCGGCCATGGCTGCGAACAGAGAGAGAAACGGGGTGAGAGACGTTCTCCTTTCTGAGGGCTTCATTTGCTATTGTCAATAACAATAGTTTTATAATGAAAACTATCTTAATGCAATTGATGAAGATGACGGTGATGCTGATGAAGATAGAGGTGGTCATGTGACTTTGTTGTCTTGTTTTCGAGGGTTTTGTCTGTTGTGGCCATCTTGTTTAAGTTTATTTTCATTCTATTCACCACAGACTGAAGTCTATAAGGATGTGCCCCTGATAGCATCCTGAAGTTTATGTACTTGTGACCTCAGCTGAGTAGAATATTCCTATCTGTAGTGAATAGTTCGGGTCAGAGCTCATGAATGTTTCAAAAGAGAGAGTTGGAGCATTCAGGATACCTTCGGGCAGTTTTTGTGTCAGAGTTTTTCAGACAAATTCAGGGTCCATTCCATATTTATTTCTCGACAGAAAAAGATGGTCACACAACAGTGTGGTCTGAAGAAACTGTTTTATTGAGGGTCAGTTTTAAACCCCTTGAATTATTTCACAGCTAATGTAGAGTTAGTGCAAGTTAGTATTTTGGGCGATGAATGCTGTTGTTTACTCTTTGTCCATGTTGTGGTGCTGTTGCACAGCTTAAGCCAGGCTAGACTATGGACAAACGATCCCTTATGAAAATACGGTTGCCAGAGGGCGCTTGCAGAACTTTCTATTTTGCAGAACTGTCCCCCGACAGGTGACGTAGCAGGTCTGTCGAAGCTTGCCTTTGACTTTTTTTTCCGAAAGGAGTTTTTTGAGAATTTTGACCTGGGTAGCCTTTGATCAAGTAACTGGAAAAGATTCTTCCACCCTGCCTTCCTGTTCCCTGCCATGGGCAGCTTGTTATGTCTTTGGCTGCCTGCTCAATCTGAGACCCTTCCCCCCTTCTGCTCAGGATACAACAATACAGCCAAACATATATCTCACAGGGGTGTAGAGGTGCGGCCTATTCAGCCTCTCCTACTGTCACTGAACCCGTCCAGCTGACCCCCACCCATCGGACCATCTCAAAACATCAGAAAAGACCAAATGTTTATGAAATATGCCATTACAACAGGCTTTTCCCCTCAGAGGAGAATTTTATTGTGCATAGGTTACTCTTTTATAGCTCAGGAGACTTGTGGAGCTCAGTATCAGCTCAAGTATCAACTTTGTCTCATGTGTTTCTCCTAAATCCTTAGAAAAAATCAAAATAGACACAGATGAGGCATTTGTTAAAATGTGGTATGAATATATATCTGTAAAATTAAAGTGGGTAGCATCTTTGAAATCTTTGGCTTTTGATTGCAGACTTCATGTTAGCAAATCACTGAGCTTAATTGAAACTCTAGAGGAGACACGTGTGAGATCTTTATCTCAGGAGAAAAACTCCAAAGGTCTCCATTTTATCTCTAGGAGTAACTATTGAGATGTTAAAGAGATCTCATTTATGATTTTGTCTTTATGTGATATCAGAAAAAGTTCAAAAGCGACTGTCTTTTTGCCTAATTTTTCCTCAAGCCGTCATTATATGAAACCACATGGATTCGTTAGGTTTTCAACTTAAACACTCACTTTAAGCAGATAACAATATCTCAGAATAACTCACTGCATTCATCTAATTGTGAAGTCAGTTGGGCGGTTCTGTATTTTCTTACCTACATTCTGTCCCAGAGTCATATAAAATCCACACTACTTGTTTTCTTGAAAACGGTTTTAAAACATGAATAGTGTCATTTCATTTGATCCCGTTTCCTTGCCCACCCATATCCAAGACTTTTAGGGAGGAAACCACTGTTTTCTGGGTGTTTGTTGATGTTCGGCCCACAGCTGGCCCCCAGTTAGCCCCTGGTTTGATGCCCATGGGTCTAGATGAACCTGCAGAGCCACAGTGCCTTCTGTTCTAGTGTCGCACACTAACCCTTCCCCTGCCTCTCTTCCCTCTCCCCTCTATCTCTCTCTTAATGTGATTGACTCACACTACGCCTTAACAAGTCCCCATGTCTGCGCTGTCTGCTGGGCTTTTTAAAGACAGGGAGGCACGGTTATATGATGGGGGAAGATCCCAGTTACTCTGAGAGTAATGAAGGGAAACGACAACCAAGTTCTGTCAGGGTGTCCATCTCGGCGCTCTGTCTCTCTTAGCAATGCTTCCTCAAGTGGATGGCAGCCATTTTTTTGATTTGTCTCACCCTGCTCGTTCAGAGAGTTGCATCGAACATCGGAAGGATTGTTCTACTTCTCAGGTCTTTAGCAAAAGGACAGGAAGGCTTATTTTTGTCAGGCATGAAGGTTAGTTAGACCTTTTGCATGGTTAATATAATTCTCATTTAGAAGTTCTCTTGGGTCTTGTATTCTTTTGCCGAAAACACTTGAAATGCAGGAAATTTGCTCCATTTTAGCTCAAGATGTGGATCGATAGATTATTAATATGGTTTGATTTGTATTAATAAAAAAGAGATAGTCGAAGGTTGTGGTTTTTAAAGGAACAGTTCACCCAGAAAAAGGAAAATGTTGTCATCATTTACTCGCATCTCATTCTAAACTATTATGATATTCTTTCTTCTGTAGAATAGAAAAGGAGAGATGTTAAAGAATTATTCTAGTTGCTCTTTTCAGTGCAGTTAAATTGAATAAGGATTGAGGCTTTTAAGCTTTGAAAAGGACACAAAAGCACCATATAAAAGTCTGTCTTGTATTCTTTTGCCGAAAACACTTGAAATGCAGGAAATTTGCTCCATTTTAGCTCAAGATGTGGATCGATAGATTATTAATATGGTTTGATTTGTATTAATAAAAAAGAGATAGTCGAAGGTTGTGGTTTTTAAAGGAACAGTTCACCCAGAAAATGTTGTCATCATTTACTCGCATCTCATTCTAAACTATTATGATATTCTTTCTTCTGTAGAATAGAAAAGTAGAGATGTTAAAGAATTATTCTAGTTGCTCTTTTCAGTGCAGTTAAATTGAATAAGGATTGAGGCTTTTAAGCTTTGAAAAGGACACAAAAGCACCATATAAAAGTCTGTGAATATATTCCAAGTTTTATAAGCCATACAATAGGTTCGTGTGAGAGACAGACTAAAATACTAGTTTTTCACTAAATATTTTAAAATTGGTTGAACCAATTGACAGAACCTGTCAGAATTATTCATTTAAAAATTAGAAAGCTTTAGTTCACTGGAAGGCATGAAAAGAAAATTGCTATCACTTTTTATTTTTATCATTATGATGTATATACAAATAAAACATATTGAGCTGGAAAAATGTAAGTTAGGACTTTTTGTCCATCGAGAATTGATTGGAGTGTTGGAATCTGCTAATTGCTGCGATCTCATGTTAGTGACAGGTTGGAAGTTTATGCTTTTGAATAAAGATTACAAGGACACATGAATTAAAAAAAAACATGGATAAATAATTTATAATAAACATTGCACTATTATGTGCATAGATAAATCAGTTATAATAAACATTGCACTATTCCAAAGTTTTATTACAGAAGAAATCAACTCATCTTGGTTTAGATAAATGAGGGTGAATAAATGAATAAATCAAGAATTTCCATTATTGGGTGCGCTGTTCCTTTAAGAGTTTACAACTATAATTAAGACTGGTGCGTCATTCTTTGGCTCTGCTTGTTCATCAGTTTAGTTCTGACCCTCTTTTGCTCTCAGTGTCAATGCCTTTATTGCTTTCTGTTTTTGACTCGCATCTTCATTTTCTGTCCCAACAGAAAGCCATTTTCAGTTTGCAACACACAAGTGAATCATCGTAGATGCACAACACACTTGCATTTGAGCATGTGTTGTTTGTTTCGTATCGTCGTAGTGGAACAAAGCTGTATTTTCTGTCTGTTTCATACGAAATAAGGGCTTTCCTTCAATGGTTGAGTGCTGCCAAAACAAGTCACCCTCTATGTAGCTACACCACTTCCTGTGGTCTCCCTTTGTACAGAACAGAATTACATGTGTGTGCATGCTAACGTGTGGGGGAACCGGAGAAAAGGGAGGGGGGTGATGGGTAATGTAGTTTTTTTCCTGTATGTATGAGAGCGAGAACTTGAGGCACAGCTGTGGCCAGCACAGGCAATGTGCATGCCAAAAAAAAACATCTTGTCAAAGGGATTCAAATGATATTGTGCACCTTGGGTAATTTAGTGCTGGGTTTGCCAATCCATTTCTGCTCAGCATTTACCATGGCATACTCCATTATCATCTTCATCTGATCCAAATCCAAGATCGGATACGAATCCATTGCCACTTTTTCCAGAAGATCGGGGGGTTGGGTTCATCCATGTGACAGTGGGACGGTCGTCGGTGAGTGTGTGCGCGTGTGCCTGCGAGCTGATTTGAAGGCAAGTCGTTTTATAGTGCCTTAAATGAACAGTTTCCCATCGCCGTTACACGACCGTAGATACGAAGCCATGGCGAAAACGAAGAGGGTCATCATGTTTGTACCTCGACTGTCTATCCATGTCTATCTAAGGTGTTTTGTTGGGCCTATCGATCTCTTTCTCTTCTGTAACTCTTGTATATCTCATTCATAAACTTCCTGCAACTCTGTGTTTTCATCCTCTTTCTTCAGCATTGCCATGATCCTTTCTGTTTCACTTCCTCCTGTTCTTTATGCATGTCATGGTTTCTTCATTCAAACACATTGCTGATTCGATATTGAGCTTTTATTGA